TGAGGGATAAGGGACAGACAAGGAATCCTAAGCAGTAGATAGATTTCTTAAGTCTAGTGAGAAATTTCCCATGAAGGAGCAAAATTGTGAGGAAGGAAGAAAACATTTTGGAGAGAATGGGGTGTGCAGAAGATATGAGCCAGGAAATTAAAAAAAAATAGGACCCAATATCACCCTTAATCTTTTTGGGGGGGATTCAGTTTTAAAGGGTTTAAATTTAAGAGTAGAGGATAACTGATTGCTGGAACAGGTACTAATTAACATTTGTGAACTATTGCATACCTTACGATTATAAATGTTATAACCACCAGAATCTTTGGTTATTTCATATATTCTCTAATTTTTCATTTTTAAAAGAATTGTTAAAACTATTCTTACTTCTTTTGTATTTTATAAAACTAAATCCAGTGGAAGTAATTTCACTGAAATCCAAAAGACTCAAAAGTTTTTCTATAAAAAGAAACATTGTTATTTATATGTATTTGTGCAATTTATAGGCAGACTCCCAACTACTTACTTGAGCTTTTCTTTTTTCGGTGATTACTTCTGTGCAGAGGTTTCTTGCAATATTTATTATCTCATCTACTTATGAATTTGTTGGTTTAAATAATGGCTATATAAAAAACCAAGTCAATGATCATAAATTTGTGCAAGCTTCTACTGATTTTATATAGGTGACACAAGGTCTGTGCTGAAATCAACATCTTACCCTGCTTCATCTGAAAAGAAAATATAGGGAAATCGTACTAAATTAGTATCAATCTGAAGCAGTCTTCTCAAATCCATTGCCCACTAGATCAGTGGTTCTCAACCTGTGGGTCGGGACCCCATTTGGGGTCGAATGACCATTTCAAGGGGGTCGCCAAGCAAGGCTGTCCGCCATTTTTTCCCCTTTTTCTTTGGCCACTGGCACCCAGTGATGTATAAGTGGTTGGGGGTCACCACAACATGGGGAACTGTATTATGGGGTCGCGGCATTAGAAAGGTTGAGAACCACTGCACTAGATGTTACAACTGAGGATATCATTCCCCAAATTAGCAGCCAACGTGGCCATGTTGACTGGGAATTCTGGAAGTTATACCATATAAATCTGAGAGCTCTCCAGTTAGATAAAGGTGGTATGGAAACAATAAGAATTCTTGCTTCAGATGAAAATAAAAAACATATGCACATAGAAGAGATCATTGCTTATGATGAGATTTATTTTTCTACATTTCTTCACTCTTTAAGCCTAGAATACAACATTTTTGAGAAAATTGAACTCTCTAGGAGTGTGAAAATGAAGTAAACCTTTATGTCCAGCATAAAATGAAGCATTATGCATGCTGTAAAGCCTCAAGAAATAAACTGCTGCATAGTTACTGTATTATAAATAATATGCCAAATATTAACAATACTTTATAGCACAAATGTGGCCAATAAAATTCAGATGATACATCTACAAGTTTTAAGATAAACATATAATATCTATAATTTGGCAATATTGAAAGAACTACCAGGTTAGAGGCTTCATTGGCCATTTCCCAGATATAAACAACGAAACACTAAAACTTCACCCTAATTTCATCTACATATAAATCACTTGCAGGAGGAAATTATTCCCTTGTTAGCCATACTATAATAAAGAAATGCACTAGGTGGCACTATGTAGCCATTAAATGATAGCAATTATGCTTAACTTTACCTTGTTTTTTCCTCACTCTTTCTTATTAAAATCATCCCAGATGCATAGGACTTTCTTTATATAAATTATTCTCCATCTTATCATTTTGGTGCTTCATATACACCTTCATATACACAAAGCTGCAAACTGATGGCAAGACCATATTATAACACCATGATTGTGGGTGGTTTCAGAGGAAGAGTTCCCAGTTTTGCCTATTGAAGGTACTCTTCTAATTTTTTGATTGTAAATAAAAGTTTGTGTGGTGTACAATTTGAAACCAGAGCTCTTGTGTAGTCCCCAATCGTACCAACCTCTCCAAAAATGGAAGCTAAATAGTAATTTTTTATCTGCAGAAGAAAAATATTAGATGACAATCAGTGTTATCTGTTTGAAATAATTGCTTATAATTATACTTAGATTAAATAAAAATATCATTCTTGTTTGGCTTCATTCATTTTCCTAATATGCCATTCAAAAATAAATCATAAACCTTAGCTAAAATGCAATGTGCAAAGGAAGGTCAAATAGTAAGCTTCGGCCCAAAAATAATTGTAACTTCTAAATAGCTAAGTATTTAATTCTTTCAGAGATAGAAATTGGGTTATATGTAAACGTTCTGCCTCTCCTCATACTACAGTTCAGGATGGGAGAGTAGTGCACTGTTACCTACCTGTTGCTTTGAAATAAAACACATAAAGTAATCCCGCTATATATTCTGTTATTAGTTTTGCAAATCAGAAATGATCTGATTTATATTTCTAGTCCACCACACTTCTTAAACTGCAGCTCAGAATGATCTACTAAAATGGCCTGTGTGGTTTGTTTGCTATCAGGGAGATTCAGGTCCACAGAAACTCAGTGGATGACTTTGGGTCAGTCAAATAGGAGGAAGGAATTTATATGCACTACATCCCGAGTTCTTGTACTATAGGTACAAGGCTTTGCACACATATTCACTCATATATTGCACTCGACCCAAACGTTGTAGCTTCCTATGTTTCTGTTACTAAAAATAGTCACTCTTTTGAATTTGGATACCTCAGTAAATCAAAAAGCTTTGCTAAAATGTAGTATATAATGGTAAATCAATTGTTGATATGCAACACCCATTTACTAAGCTTTTGAAGTTAGTTTGTAAATACAACCCTCAATACCAATGCAAATATACATTCGGAAATGAGACATTTCACCGATTTCACATGTAGATGTGTTGCTCTCTCAATATAGAACAGCTTTGAAAAATATATTTGTAAAACATGATTCAGAGAATAGACCTGTCTTTGATGTTTTGATTTTCATCCCTGTCATATGCTATATTCAGATAACATCTACCTACATACATATATACTATGCACAGTTATATGTTGGGAACACACAGGAGTGTTTGGCAATACATTCTGATTGCTTGTTTTCCCCATTGCAAAATTCTGAACAAGGATCCTTATGTAACCAAAACATTGCCAAACAAATGGAAGAACCAACAGCCTCTTTTTAGGTCAGCTATTTCTTATTGGAGAGAATTGTAGGACAATCTGCCATGGTGAAAATATTTGGTAGTTCAGATTTACTCAAATCCACTCGGATTGGTAAAAGTATAAGCTTGGTTGGCTGGCTAATAGTGTAATCCTGTTAGTCCTAAGGAAGTACACAACATCTTCAGAAATGCTAACCCAGCCACATGATTATGTCCTAATTGACTGGTGAAGGTTGCCCAAGAGGTTTGTATTGCTTTATATGGTTGGGTGGCTCTGTTGGCCTTGAAGGAGATGGCAGTGCATCCCTATTTCAAAAGGCTATCACTGGACCTAACCATCCAAATCATTTTCATCCAGTCTCCAACCTCCTGTTTTTGAGGAAGGTTGATAAGAAGCTGATCGGTTACAGGCCTGGAAGTAATGGATTACCCAGACTCTTTTCAGTTGGAATTCACATCAGTATACAGTACTGAAATACTTTGTTCATGCTTATTAATAAGTTATTGCACAGGAATAATACTACCTTCCTGACTTTCCTTGATCTTTCAGTGGCTTTTTGATATTGTTTATCATAGTATTTTTTTGGACTGGCCACCGAAAGTGGGTCATGGTGTTACAGCAGTTCTCCAGTTGGTGTTGGTAGAGGGTAAGAGTTCAAATACAAAGCCTTATGTCTGTGGAGCACCAGAAGACGATGAAAGACACACTGACAGTATTGTACTGTAGTATAATATTACATGGTAGTATAGTTTCTTAGCAGTAGTTAAGCTGCCCAGCACTCTTGAGGTGGGCAGCCTAGAAATCCAATAAATAAATAAATAAGACATAAAACTTGTGAGTTCATAGGAATTCCAGGCAGGAAACAGGAGAAATAGACTGATTATGGACATGAGAGCCTTGGTTGGCTGCCAACTTGCCGAGCTTTTAAAGCAGCTAAATAAAGCCTTGGAGAATCAAGCTATAAATGAGTATTGGTCATAGTTCCTCAACATTATCACAACAATTAGAGGAGATTCGCTCCTCAAGAAAGTCCTGGCCCCAATGTATTTGATTAGTTATCATGGTAACAAAACGTTGGGCTGATCCACAGGGCTCTGTTGTTTTCTCCCCTCCCCTCTCCCCCAAGGATTTGAACTTGTGCAACCAACTTAGCATCCTCAGGTTTATCAAAAGGCAACTGTAAGGCCAAATATTAAAGAGAGAAAAATCATGGCAATCGCACAAGGAAGTTTGCATAGAGGAGATTTTGTTACACACAGTTTTCACAACTAGAAAACCCACGAGGAGCAAACTCCGGAAAGTTGCTGCTTTGCTGCTTCCTCGCGTGTTGCACAACCGGCGGGATTTAAGGGCGTCCACCATCCGCTCTCTCCCTCCCCCACCCATCCCCACGTCCTTTCCTACTCGGAAAGTGTCTGCTAAAAATCCGCTAATCTTTTCTGCTCTGCACTCCAACCGGCAAAAAAGTAAAGTCTGAAAAAGCTGGCAATTGTCGGTATGGTATTTAAGACACCGCCTACCACCTTAAGAAGGTCCTGGGACTCTACAGAAAGTTGGATGCGCCGCTTTTTTTCTCCGATGGGTGGAGAGAGTTTTTGGGAGGGAGAGAAAAAAAAGCTCATCTCCAGGAAATGAGTAAACTAGAAAAAAAAATCGTAGTAACTCTACCTTCGTAGCTAAAAGCAACAGGCGTATAGGATGCTCGGAGAAAAAGGAAGTGCTTCAGACAGAGGTTTTGATCGTAATCGGCACGAAAAGAAGCCTGAAACCTGGCTTGAAAAAGCAGATAAAGCGGCTTCTGTTGGTCCTTGTTTAGTCAAGTAAAAGGTTTCTTGCGGGACGCAGTAAGTACAGCAGTTACTCCTCTGCCGCAGAAAATAGCTTTTCATTTAAGATATTAGTTTTTCTTTTCTTTTGGACATCTACTTTGTCTCTGAAAATGCAAGCTGCAAAGTGGAGTCTGCTGGTTGCATTTACTTTGTGAAGAGTATGCAACCCATCCCCCCCACCGCCGTCTTTTTCGCCGCTAAAGATAGGAGTGACTTTTGCGCTTTTTTCTGCCCTCCTCCCCTTCCTTCCGCTCGCAGCTTTCGAACGTAGCTAAATGAAGAGGAAAGAATGGACATACACCCTTCTCAGAGCAGTTTGGGGATCACTCTGTATTCGGGGGGGGGGAGTTTCAAATTTGCCCCGGTTTTTTCCATAGTCTGAAAAAAGGACCGGCGACAACGAGTTACAGAATAGGGAACGGAAGAGGAAAGGCCCTTCAAACTGTATGAAAAATTGAGGTACTTTTAAAAAACAAAAAATGATTTTCCACACTGCACTTTCCTCCTTCTAGGGACTTGACTTTTTCAACTTGTTGAAAACTTTTTTTCAACTTGCTGAAAACTTTTTTTTATGGTCCACATTCTGGTTATCCAGTATGTTCACCTCTCAGGAGGCTCTTCAGCTTTCTCTTTCTATTCACATAAGTGCTTTGGGTGCTTTTTTGCTGCTGTTATTAAACTGCTAAATTGGCCACAATTTATTTTATTCTTCTCTTGAGCCAAATAATTCCAGGCTTTTTTACAGCAGCATGCAAATTAACAAGCATTAAGAGTAAAAACATAAATCCTAATAAAAACACAAGGCTGTAATTCTACCAGCACCTCAGAAACAATAAGGATTGCATCTGAGAAGAGAGCATGGAAGAATTGTAAGATGAGACAGTTTAGATTAGTTTATAACTTAAAAGCAAAAGGCCTTTGCCCAGACGTTAAAAAATAGTAAAATAGGCACCAGAAAATCCTGCAAAGCCCCACTCCAGAAATCCATCTAAGTTGGCTATGTACTTCAAGAGAATGACTGTGACAATTGTGTTGTATCTACATGTATTTGCTTAGATAAATTTGTTAAAATGTATAATTTAGTAATAGAGAAAAATAAGTAAAAATGTACTTTAAATCAGGACTTCAACATTGACTGTGAAGCATTCTCCCCATTACAAACTCAATTGTGTTCTATTCTTCTAGCTTGTATTATAACACCGGTTCCAAATCTCACACCCTATTTTCTTCATGTTAGCTGAAAATTCTAGGAGTTGTAATCTAAACAATTGTTGGAAAAATATGTTTTAAGTGCCTGGCCTGTAACTATGTTTTGTAAAATTTTGGTCCTTGAAAATATATCCTGCAGTACTGTGCATGCTTACCTAGCAGTATATGCCTTATTTAAGATTTAATTAACAGATAAATATAATTTTAAGTCTATTACTCCTCTATAATTCAGAGTACAGTACTTTTAAACAGCTAAACAAATTCATGAAGTCAGTCTGTGGTTTTAATTATGGAAGCTACATGGAACCTGCATTGAATGCCACATGGAATTAGGCAACTTGGAATAATGTATACATGACTCAGAATGGCCAATGATCACAGGCTATGAAAACCATGATCCAAAATACAAGAAAAGTTAGACCTGATCTTCCTCTTTCAAAACACTTTGCTTGTAGGCCTTTTCATGGCATTTGGCTAGTACTGTGGGAAAAGTACTAGAATAGATATTTGCTTAGATACAGCCATGGCAGGATACATGGAGTTGGTTTCCACGTAAACTAAGCTTAGACTCAGCAGCCAATAAGCCCTGTGCTCTCATAGACCCAATTTGGAGCATCTAGTCTGAGACTACATAACTAACTTCAGATAAAAAAAATGGCAGATCATTGGCACTGTGATTTTTTTAAGTGAACGATCTCCATTAAAATAAGGGTAGAAACAGGCTCAAAAGTCTGCAAGGCAAAGTTCATTATTTAAAAGTTTAATAAACCTCAGTTCTCCTCCCCAAACCTCCCAATGATGTTAGCCTGTCATGGATGTCCCTCCCTACAGCCAATTAATTAAAAAAAAACTGTAATCATCAAATGGAAAAGATTGCCTGTTCCTTGTTAAGCCTTATGAACTAAATAATGCTAAGCATAATTTGGGAACCATCTGATTCTGTAAATTTAATTCAGAATTCAAAATTGCTATTAAATTCCTTTTTTGAGATCCTTTTGAAAATAAACCTGTCCTCTGTGTCACCATCTCTAAGCCTGGCATCATCATCACATGAACCACTTCTTATGTAGTAATCAGAATTCTTGTTTTTATTTGTGATTATTTACAATTCCCTTGAAATCACATTGATTTAACAATGATATTGATCTAAGGGATTTTTGTGCATTATAGATACCAAATTTCATGTATCAGTCTAGGAATAATACACACATAGTACACAGCTTTTTCACCTCAGGACTTTCCAAATTTGCAATCCATCAGATTCATAATACTCTAGCCTAAACAGGTTGTGGAAGTTAGGATTTACAGAGATTGTAATCCAATAGATTTTATGGATCAAGAAATCTATAGACAAGTTTATATGTGGATCTTGAAGAATAAGGTTTAGAGTAAGTTTTACAGTCACTGTAAAAATGTTGGAAACACAATGCTAAAAAGTGATTGGCACAGTCCTTGATAGATCCCAATGGAGCTACAACTGCTAGATATAATTACATGAAGTACTCAAAAGGTATTGAGAATTCAAATAGGCAACTTGTAGAGATACTGTGGGTGTCAGCGGTCACCATATCTTGCCATTGACTATGCTGGTTTGGCTATTCAGACTTGAAGACCAAGACACCCCCAAGCCCCTTATGTTATCGATAGTTCCGATGACCTAAAACGGATTATTTGTTCATTATTTGAAGCTTGCTTGCTCTGATAAAGATAGGTTAAAAACATTTCAAAACATTATTGGTTAACTCAAGGAAGAGTGGCTGTATCCTTATATTTATTTTCCAAATCTTTTAATCTATATTGTGATTTTTTATTTTTCACTGTGCTATAGCACAGTCTATCAACACAGTTTAGGTGTACTATGCAAGGAACAAATTTCAACTTTTTAAACTCCTGTATCTTCTGAGATACTTTGTTCTCTATTTGATCCATTTTTTCTGTGGCAGAATGTACTTAGGCTGCAAATCAGCCTTTTAATGACAGGGAGATCCTGTCATTAAATATTAAATTAAGACTTATTTTATTGCTCTCATTGTTACTAACTAAATAAGGATTTGTTCTCATCCACAGTCATGTCCAAAATGAGTCACGTAGACTAGTTGCTGACTCTGGTCTATTTGCCATAAGGACACATGCCATGGCTCTTTTATTGTTGTAATAATTTCTGCTTTTTCAAGAGGGAAAGAAATTAAAGGAAAATTAGATTTAGTACTTTCAGAACTCCAAGGTGCACTGTGGACAACATTTCTAGTGATAAAAATAAATTCATATTTCTTTAGTATTCCTGTATTACTAAACTGGTAGAATGAACTTTTCCAACAGTTTCACCCGTTTCATAGCTGAAACTACATTTGCTGTCTACTTCTTGCCTTTGTTTGGATGGATGCTTATGTTGCAATTTGGCTTGTCTTTGGTTAACTACCTAATTTTTTAGTGTCTTTATCATTGACAAAGTTTCCAAAGCTTATAGGCAGAAAAATAAAAAGCAAATATCATAGACAATACATAATAAATTAAATATGACTTGGCTATTATAATACATCATATGAATACAGGAATTTAGAGTATTCAGGCTAATTCAACAGAATTGATAATTTATCATTTTGTAAATGTCATAATGTCAACAGATGTTCCCTCTTGCCATTGAAAAGTTTGTGGGGAAACATGTGTCTCTGGTCTTTTCAGCCATTGCCTTTCTCTGCCTTAAGCAAAATAGTATTATCTCTAATAGCAGAGAAATAGTGGCTTTCATAATGCAACCTTTTCAAAATAGTTTAAAATTCAGATCACACTAATTTATTGTTATTTAAATTAGATTTCTGTCTCCTCTTTTTCATATTTTCCATAAAAACATCCCTGTGAAGAAAGAAAGTGACTGGCCCACAGTAATCTAATGAATTTCATGATTGAGGGCAAATTTGAACTCAGGTCCACTAACTCTCATTCCAGCAACTTAATCACTATACCATACTAAATCACAAAAGTCAGATCTGTATACACAAATGTACTGTATATAAATATTTTTTTTCCTGCAAGCGAACATGAGGTTACCCTATCTGAGGCCAAAATCTCTATAACACAATGTACTTCATTTTATCTGTATGCTATAAATAGTTTCACATGGCCAAATCTATATAAATAAAAATGTAAATGTTTGTTTGTTCAAAATCTTAAATCTCCAAAAGTTCTTCACTGATTGCTTTGAAATTTTAACACAATGTTGCATTCGAATACGTGCGTGTTTTTATATACCTACTATTATATAGATGTCACACCAGTGACAGGTAAAAACATGGTTTTTTGAAAAACAGCACCGGCAAACCAGACAATCTCTATATTTGCACAGACAATGGAACAACAAAAAATATTGTATACCCATAAGCATTGTGAAATTAAACATATTACAAATGTGCGCTTTCTCTTTTCTTTCTTTTCCATTTAACCAGACTGAGCCACAGCATCGCGTGGCTGGGTACAACTAGTATGAAAATAATTCTGTTCCATAGAACAGTGATGGCGAACCTTTTAGAGACCAAGTGCCCAAAATGCAACCCAGAACCCACTTATGCATCGTCGGGTGCCGGGTGGGTGTGGCCCATTAGGTGGGTGTGGCCTATTGGGTGAGCGTGGCTGCGGTGGTAACAGCAGACTGGGTGGGACTAAAAAGTTCAATCAATCAATTCCAACTTTGCAAGATCTTTTTTTCCCGCGAGAAGTTGAAATTGACTGATTGAACCTTTTTTTTTTTTTTTTGTACATGGCGGCGGAGGCCTAAAGCAAAAAGGTTTTATAAAACCCAGCTGAAGGCCTAGGACTGGGGTGACGGCGTGCGTGCCCACAGAGGGGGCCCTGAGTGCCACCTCTGGCACCCGTGCCATGGGTTCACCACCACTGCCATAAAACTATATAATTCACTTTATATGCCACCTATAGATAAAACTTAGGATAATATAAAAAGCAGAAGATGGTGTAATAGGATGATAAGAATTGATATTGGTATTCTTACTTCCACATTCTGTATTAGCTGGAAATTCTGGGCTTTCTTCAAAGGTAGTACTGCATATGGAGCATTACATTAATCTTAGCAATATATTTATGTCTTTGACAACAAGAAAAAAAAACCACAGGAACAGATTTCAGTATTATGGTTGCTTCTAGAGACAAGGGAACACACAAGGAAATGGGCTGTAGTCCACCAAAGCTTGTTTCATTATAAATGTTCTAGTTTTCAGGCTACCACAAGACAAATGTTT